AGAGTTTGTGCAGGTCTTTTCACATCACCCCAGCTGGCATCGTTCATAAGGTGTCTCCAGGCAAAGTTCCTTTAACTCAAGTTCACCCGTGTAGCTCTTGTATATTTTTGAAAGTGTGCATTACAATCTTCTAGAACTGAAGCATTGCGTTTATGTCAGTAGTCTCAGTTAAGGTAGTGATGTGGACTTTGATCCTGGCTCCCCGAAGATGACAGTCATTGTGTAACAGCTGCTTAGTTAGGGTGTGATAAAAAGCAAGCTCACCCTGGACAGTGTTTTTCCATTCTGAGGAATCTCCTTAACCTCTTTGTGCATCTCAGTCAGAACTAAGAACAGAGCACGCTGGGGTTATACCTTGTCCCCTCCCTCCTTCTGCGGCTTTTCCAGGATTCTTGCTCTTCCACCTTCTGGTGTGTGATCTCCCTGTTGCTGCTCCTAGCTTGGGCAGAGGTCAGCTTAGGTACATAGGCAACTCCCAGCCTGCTGGGAGTATCAGCACTGTATTTGTCCCTTCCCTTCCTTTTTCTCTAAGACGGTCTCATGTGGTCTACAATCCTGGCCTCATGGCCCAGGATTTTGCTGTCCAATTTTTGGTTATTGGTTTCTTGTTTCCTTCCACTGTCCATTCTTCAGGAATTTGCAGAGCATGCTGGAATTCTTGAAGTAGCTCCTGCTCTTCGAGCCTGTGAGTTGTGAGCACAGTGTCCATGAACCTGTCACTGCTCACTGGAGGTTTCTGGGGCTTGAGTAATTCTAGTCCCACCCCTTCTTTACTCCCTAACTGCCATCACAGACCCAGTCCAGATTCATTTGCTGTGCTTTTTTTTTTCTTTTTTTATTAATTTTTTAATGTATATGGGTGTTTTTCTGGCATGTCTGTCTGTCTGGTGCCTGAGGTGGCCAGAAGAGTGTTGGACCCCCTGGAACTGGGGTAGAGATGGTTGTGAGCTGCCACATGGGTGCTGAGAACCAAACCTGGATCCTGGAAAAGCAGATAGTGCTCTTCAATACTGAGCCATTTCTCCAGCCCTCATCTGGGTATGGGGGAGTTGGTTTTTATTTACTTTTTTGGCAGCTGGGCTGTCTGCTTTTGGGAAGACCCAACCCTTAGACAAAACTGTCAGTGCTTCCTCTGTCTGTTCAAATGAGCTTAGTATTACTCTCTCAATAGCTATAAAACCTTGATAACTAAGTTTTGATGAGGACAATAGCTAGAGTCCAGGTCAACAAACACTGAATTATGTCTCCTCAGTTTGTCTTTAAGGCATGCCTTGCCTTGGTTTGACTGTTGCACTAGGTTAGGGGTTCTAGACTAGAACTGTGTAAAGTCTGAGAAGGTGGTAATGTCTGATGCCCTGTACCATATGGTACTGACGGTCACTGTGAGTGTCCACATTGCAGTCAGTGACACGTAAATACTGTACATTTTGTTCTCACTGTGTTCATTTCCTGGTCATTTTGGCAACCATTCCCTCTGTGAGGAGTTCATACCCATCCTTTGTTTTTGCCAGGACCTTTCAGGACCAGCATCAAATGGAGGGATCAGTCCCACCCACAGTTATGAAGCCCAGTATGAGAGGTAACTATGGGACTTGTCCTGATGTGGCTTTTGTCAAACCTGGGTTGGCATGGGCACTTGATACCGGGCATCTGTGTGGCTGCGCTCAGTGGCAGGTTTAAGAGTCAGTACACTTTCCTGCTTCTTCTCATCATGGTTACTCATTAAACCAACTCTGAACCAAATGCTGACTGCTTCACAGGTTAGGGCTACTTGCAGCAAAGCCCTGGTTAAATGGTTTCTGGTTGGCTTGGTCTTCTGTGAATGTGAGTTGCAGGTCTGGCTGGGTGAGGATAGATAGAGTTAAAGATGGTTGAGGAAGAGCTATAGAAATGGTAGAAACTGCAGTAGTGCCTCCTTTTCCTATGTGAGCACTGGAGGTCAGGCACCTCAGCTGTGCTTTCCAACAGACCAGAGTTCCATTCATATCCTAGTACTGGGTGATGCAGTCACATAGGCCCAGCAGCTCTATCACAACAGTGCATGACATCGTGCATCAGGAGGAGTGCTTGGTACAGTGTGCTTTTAATCACTAAGAATGTATTTGTCACCATTGCCTTCAGGATAGGAATAACTCTGTCCCATTCCCACCATAGGGCCATCCAGGAGAGCCTCCTAACCACTATGGAAGGTCAGTGCCCAGGTGCCCTCAGTGAGTCAAGCCGTTTTGATAGCGACCTACAGCTGGCCATGGAGCTGTCTGCCAAAGAGCTGGCGGAACAGGAGCTAAGGCTCCAGGAGGAAGAAGCAGAACTCCAGCAAGTCTTGCAGCTGTCACTCACTGAGAAATAGACATTTCTGTCCGGGGGCTCCTCTGGGCTGCATGGGAGTGCTTCATCAGCTGAGACCCTAGACAGAGGGCCTACACTTCCTGCAGACAGCAGCTGCCCCTTCCTTATGCAAAGGTGCAGGACCAGGAACTCCCCAGAGTGGAGGAGGGGAGCATTGGCAGGTCCCATCTCCAGGCTGAGGGGAGGAGAGCATTGTCACCTTCTTCCATTAGCTATCCTGGCTTGCAGGTCACATTTTTACTACCAGCTTTAGACAGAGACGCCAAGCCCTGCAGTTAGTAGATACATCTTAATCAGACATGATGACAGTTACTGCAGAGTCAGGGTGCTTTTCTACACGAGAGCAGCAGCCTTTGTAGAGTGTTCACCAAAGAAATGGGTTCTGCTGCCCTCTTTATTTTCCCTTCTGCCAGGGTTCCTAGGACATGGCCATTATTACTCCCCATCTGTGCCCTGTTCCATGCCCTTTACCCCAGCTAAGAGGATATGTACAGGATCTATTTTAGATTATGGCTAACTATTTGCATCAAATTAAGATATACAGATGACCACGGATGTTGCCTTAGCCTTAAAAATTATTAATAGTTTTAAGCCACCTCACTCCACACACTGAGGACCTGACTTGAGTCCGCAAAGGCAGTTAGTTCCTTTGGGAGCAGCATCCTCCAGGCTAAACCGAAGGCAGCTAATCCTGTCCTTAGGGGCAGCTAGGGGAATCCAAGGCTGGTTCTCACGACAGGCAAGCTGACCACTGGACAGCAGAGAACCTAGTCACCGTGGCGGTGCCCGCTCTGGTGAAGGATTTCCCACCGGGAGAGAGCCAGCACATGGCCTATTGTTAGAGAGGACAGGATGAACTTGAAACCAGAAGGGAGCTAACATGGAGTAGAGGCTCTTTATTCAAAAGGGAAAAGTGACGACTCCTCATTGCTTTTTAGAGTTCAAATCAACATCTTTCTGGATAAATATATTTTTTAACAGAATCTTTTTATTATTTTTAAAAGATATAAAAATGACTACTCCCATCAGTAGCAATACAAGGTTATGCATTTTAACCAGATTTTCTCAGGCCTTTTTTGGATACGTTTAGTAGTTAACTATTTTGTCTAACCCTCCTGTAAATACCTATTGCTAACAGACCGCCCCTGGGGAATACAGCCAAGGGCACCTTGCACCTCTCACCTGGTGCAGGCATTCACCCCCACAGGCTGCGCTGATCACATGGTAGTAATACCTTCCCATTTTGCGTCTGTTTCCTGTTACACTTCTTCTGGGGACAGGAAGAGAATCCACGGTCCCCAGAAATGTCTGTTTGATACAGTCAGTGTTGCCAGTAAAATGTTCTTAGACAAAAAGAATTGTGATTTTAATTCCTCATGGCCATCTGCCTTTTGTCATGGTCTAACCAAATTCCTTCCCTGTACATAAGGCCAGTATGGCCATCACATTTGTACTCAGCTTGGGGGTCTGTTTACTTGGCGTTTGCCAGGAGCAAAGACACTTGCGGGAATGGCTGCACTGGGCCATGTTTACTCACTAAAGTGAATCCTAGGTAACTCCTGTGTTTGCATTCCATTGCTCTGCTTTCCTGAAGTCTGACTGTGTCCCCAGGAAGTCACGTAAAAAGGTACTGAGCATTGTTGCAGCTTTCCCCATGTGTTTTCTCTTAAAATGCAAATAAATATGCTTCCACAGAGGGTACTCAGAGTCCTGACAGCCAGAGTCCTGTCTATTCCACAGTCTTCCTCTTGTCACTGGAGGACACAGTGCCTGCCCTTTACAAAGCAGCACACTATCACCCACCCCCAGCTTTCCTGCCCAGGGCACAGGCAACAGGCAACATTCCTCATGACTTGTGCCAGATGGAAATAAATGAAAAGCACCCAGTGTTGGACAGTTTGGATCCTCTTCACCTTGTGAAAGTGGTGCCTGGTAGCAGAAGAGAAAATGGGCCATGATCAACCCCGCTGATCCTGGAAGCCAGAGTGCTGGGGTACTATTTTTAAGGCTTTCAAGTGAAAATTGGGGCCTTAAAGGAAAAAGGCAGTGGCTGGATGACAGTGTTGGGGTTCTAGAAGGGGCTAGAAGGAACATGGAAGAGCAGCTGCTTTGGGGGAATAAGCAGTACTTGAGCCTCAAGCATCATGAAAAACAACACCCCCTTTGCAGGCCACGATGCATGCAGTCTAAGAACTGTTTCACACCAAGTAGTTCACCAAGGCTCATGCTCCAGTCACTTCTACCCAGGAGTGCTGTTGGCACTGAATACAGGTTTCTGAGAGACTGTTCCAGTCTTGTCACACTATAGAAAGTGCAGTGTCAAGGGAAAGTTGGCTTTGAATAGTGACAGGAACGCATAGCCAACAGCTTGACCTCAGGCTCCTCCTGACCATGATGACATCAAGGGAGATGAACTGGACTGTAGAAATTTTAAGTGACCATGGGACAATAAGTGATGGAGGTCAAAGTGCTACCTAGCCCTGGGTCTAGAAATGGGTGTGGGTTTAAGACTGAAGTCCAGCTTCTAGCTATGGGACGCTACCTCCAGAGTTCCCAGACCTCAAGGAGCGTGAGGAGGTAAACCCAATTTTAAGAGATAGGTATTTCAAACTTGAATAGATTAATGAATAAAATATACACATTTTTTTAAAAAGGTGTTTGCTAACATCTGTGTGGTTTGGACTGGTCATGTGTTCAGTGGCTAAACAGGTGACCACCATCCATTCCTTACAGCCTTGCATTCCCTTTCATAAAGCTATTTATCTGAGATTGGATCCGTCTGTATTGCCCTGGTTGGTGAGAGACCATCTACTTCTGCCTTCTGAGTGCTGGATGAAAGGTGTGCGCCATCAGGCCTGGTGGCTCACGCCTTTAATCCCAGCACTCGGGAGGCAGAGGCAGGTGGATCTCTGTGAGTTCGAGACCAGCCTGGTCTACAAGAGCTAGTTCCAGGACAGCCTCCAAAGCCACAGAGAAACCCTGTCTCAAAAAACCAGAAAAAAAAAAAAGTTGTGTGTGTCTGAGGAGGAAAGGGGCTCCCTGGAGCTGTAGTAGAGGTATTGTGATCTGCCTGATGTAGATGGTGGCAATCAACTCCGGTCCTCTGGAAGAATAATACATGTATTGCTTAGTTGCTGAGCCATCTCTCCAGCCCCACAATTTCTATTTCTAACCAGGTGTCTCTGGTCTAATTCTTTGCCCTGGGACTCATCTGTGTCTACAGCAACTGACTGGTTATCCACCAAGTGAAGAGCAATAACGAGCATTATAGGCTTGGCAAGAACCTTTTAAAATCTTAAAAATGGCAACAAGTATTATAGTGGCATACCAAAACAGATTATTCATGAAGTGGGACTGGACATGTCCTCCCGGTACCTGGCCTCAGTACCCCCATATTCCTCATCCATCAGGGAAGTAATCTGGAACTCGTGGGGACAGCAGCCTGGCTATGGCCATGTCCCCTACATTTCAGTATTTTATGTCACTTAGGACTCACTAAGGAAACTGAGGTTCTGACGAGGATGAGCTCTTTATAGTTGGCCTCGAACAAAGATGCAGGACTGCTGTCCCAGCCTGAGAGAGTGTCTGGCTCAGCCTATTTCACATACAAGTTTAAATTCCACTGCACAGGTCTTCCTTAAACGAACGAGACCAGATACACACACACACACACACACACACACACACACACACACACCTGCATTAAAGTTTTTAAAAGACTATATGCCTTTGTGATGTTTGTTCACTACATGTATGCTTGGTGTCCACCAGAGGTCAGCAGAGGGTGTCAGATCCCCTGGAAATGGAGTTACAGGAAGTTGGTTGCATTAGCACCTCGGTGCTGGGAACCAAGCAACAAGTGCTTCTAACCCCTGTGCCCTCTGTACAGCCCCACCCCTGCATTGTAAACACTTGGGAACATAATGATGAATAAAAAAGCAGACAGGGTTTCTCTTTAATTTTGACATTTTAATGGCTCAGTGTTACAAGGTCACGGACAAGACCCCAACAGTTACAGTGCTCCTCATCAGTTAATTCAAATCAAGTACACGTTGTTAGATTATAAAACAAAAAAGACCAGTGCTGTGCTTGCAGGAAACACAAGATTAAGCATTACAACAATTTTATAACAAAATTAAATCTAGCATCTTTAAAATAAATACTGATAGCCACTCCATATCTGTGAAAAGTAACAACAGGGGAAATCTAGTTCAGTAGCAGCACTTGGAAAGCTTCAGTCTTGTAAACACAGCAGCCTGCACAGTGGACACATAGATGACGCCTTTACACCCAGGAAGAGGGAGAGCTAAGTCTCTCAGGTTCCCACTTGAAAATCTATCAAAATCTTTAGGCTGTGGGTGAGAGGGACATCAATATGTTCGAGTCAGGTGGAATTGTTCTTCTGATAGACAGTAGCATTCACAGTCCGACCCTGAGCCTTCCAGACCAAGGGGGCACATGATTACAGACCTAGGATACAATTCTGGCTCAGCTGTGGGCACTCAAGTACAGTGCCGGTGCAGACAAGGAATGATGGCCTCAGTTCCCCACAGTGAACACTGGCTCTACAACCAGTAGAGTGGAAATGCGGGCTTTGTTTTTATATTCGTGTGTGGAGGTCAGAGAACCTACAAAGTTGGTTCTTTCCTTCCACCATATGACTTCCAGAATTAAACTCAGCTTATCAGGCTTGGTGGCAAGCCCCTCTACCTGCTGAGCCATCTTGTTGGCCCTCATATGTGACTAACACACCGTGACAGAATGGTTGAAAGCAGGGGATGTCTACATGTTAAGTCTTCCTTACTATTTCAAGCATCAGTGATTAGTCCTCTCCAGCGTGGTTCTTCTGCACACTTGGAAATGGACACATTTTACAGGGAACCTTAGAGCTTCAGGCTTTACTTTTAACCAGCACAGCCAAACAAAAAGAAACACTGAAGACTCGGACTCAGTAGCCAATAACCGATGTTAGGGAAACAAGTACTGCTAGATGCTTTTACCACCTGTAGCATTTACCACCCATCCAGATCAGTGGTCACTTCCTAGACGTTCTTTCTGATCCCACCATCTCCAGTAGCTCACATGCAACACAACTTATGCTGTCCCAGAAACTTGAAGCACGATGATCTTGCGTAGCTGTCACCGACGACGAATGGGCTTGTAGACACAAAATGCCATAAGGATGACGGTCACCAGCAGGATGCTAAAAATGGTCCCCATCAACACTGCAAAGGGAAAACAGGTTACCTCGTGTAGGCTCCAGGCTCCATGATTTCATTAAGAGACAGTGCTTTTCCAATTGCTACTGGAACCAAGGGGCTGGGTAGGTGCCAGAACTAGCCATAAACAGGCACTTCCTCAAGTCACCCCACAGATACGGGAAAGTACATGTGAGTGTTCTTCACATAGCCTGAGTCCAGGAAAAACCACAATATGACAGACGAGGTTGGGCAACTGCAGGCATGAGGGGGCGGAGCACCTGAGGTAATGTCCGCTCTGAGCTCCTTGTGAGAGACAACCAAGGGGTTAGCAAAGCAAGGGCCTTGGGCACCAGAGCAGGCCCAGCATGTGCGTGCGGCAAGTAGACAGGCATTACGGAAGGCACACTGAGAAGCAGGAAGCAAACGGAAGGAAGCCAAGGAACACAGGGCTGTGCAAACAACAAAGGAAGGTAGACTGAGTGCTCACTACTGTGCAAGTGTGCATCCCGTACATGTGTGTGCAGGGTCAACACAAGAGTCAGGCCTCTTCCCTACCACCTCCGCCTTACTGCCTTGAGAAGGTCTCCCATGGAACCTGAAACTGGCTGGTTTTGGCTGGGTTAGCTGAGCAGCCAGCAAGTACTTTTTCCTATAATTGCTGGAGTTACCTCCCCAGGCAGCCATGTGCAGTTTTTTTTTTGTGTGGATGCTAGGGACTTGAACTTATGTCCTCAGGTTTGAAGACCAAGCATTCTTACTGAGGCATTTACCAGGCCCATTCACCACTAAATGTTAAGAAAGGCCTCTGGAGCCCGGCATTGGTGGCGCAGGCCTTTAATCCCAGCACTCAGGAGGCAGAGGCAGGTGGATCTCTGTGAGTTCGAGGCCAGCCTGGTCTCCAGAGCAAGTGCCAGGATAGGCTCCAAAGCTACACAGAGAAACCCTGTCTCAAAAAAA